GAGTTCATTGCAGATCTTACTCTGGGTTCCCTGCTATGATTAGTGCATTTTAAATTTCTGCACATTATGTGGGAGCCCCATGAGAGACTCTGCAGTTCATGCACAGATGCTGGCATACAAGGAGAATATGGGATATGCTGTCCGGTTTGTCACAGATTTGGTTTTTTATATGTCATTTTGTTGCTTTTGTTTTGTTTTTTATCTTTTGGGGCAATGTTTTACTATGTAGTTCAGGCAGGCCTTAAACTCATTTTGTATCCCAGGCTGATCTCAAACTAGCTGAGATCCTTTTGCCTCAGCTTCCCTAGTGTTGGAATTACAGGCATACACCACCATGTCTGGCTTGTCAATGATTTGTATTCAGGAAAGGTCTGAAAAGGATCCATGTTGAGATTCCCACAACAGTGTCCATATAATCATGAGAGTTTTTTGCTAATCCTAAGTGCATAAATATCCTGTAAAAAGACTTTATTCTCACTCAGTCTGTCCTGTAAAGGTCATCTGCTGGAGGTTTTTGTTCTGTAATCAAGGTTCAGTTATCTACCAAGGTTCAAGAGTGATTAGGCAATGCTTACATAGGGTATAATTTCTCTCAAAGGGGTGAGATACACCTTAATGACAAAGCCCCCATGCAACATGCTAAATGTAAAACTTGCTCCCTAGTACTATTAAGAAAAAGAAAACAAGGAAACATAGCAGTAAGAACAGATATATAAACAAAGTAAAAAATTAATTAAAACAGGCAGTACTATATGAATTACAATGGAAAATTAATGAGTGAAGTAACATATGATCAACTGAAACTTAAAAGTTAATAATAAAATCAAGAATAGCAAAAAGAAAAAAGCATGAGAAACAATTGTTTATATATAAAATATAACAAAGAATAAATCAAAATTAGTAGCAAAAATAAAGTGATAAACTTAAATTAGTAGCAAAAATAAAGTGATACAGTTAAATGAAAGTGTAGAACAATAATGAGAAAGGAAAACCTACACCATGAATAGGTTGACAAAAGTTCCTTCTGGTCAAAGCATTTCAATAGAAGATTCTTTCAGTCTCCTGTATTATTCTAGCATCCTGGTGATTGGAGTAGTGTGTCACAGGTCAGGCCAGCTGTACATTCTGGTACCTTTCACCAAAGAGATTGGTGTTGGATGCAGGTAGAACCCCACCCAGTAATTTCTGCAGGGTGTTAAAGGTGTTTTGTCAAAAGTACACCAGTTTTCACTACAGAGCTTTTCTGTGTGTGTCCACAATTGTGGTGCAAGTCAGAATAGTCTATAAGCTTTTCTTACTAAGATTCAACAGTTTCTGCACCAACTAACAGAGCTCACTCTATGCCCACAGGTCCTCAATTTTATGATCAGGGAAAAGATGAAAGTCAGATAATGTTTATTTTAATAACAATTGTATGTATTTATTGGGTACAGTAAGGTATTTTTATTTATGCAGGTACTGTAGAACAATTCAAGCAAGTCTATCACCTCAGCAATGTGACTTCATGATGAAATCAAAAGTTTGCATTTCTAGATTCCACTTGGAATTCAGCAAGCAAGAATAAAGAGGTTGACAAGGATGCATCAAAAGAAAAAGACTAATTTTAGTATTTATCTCCAATATGGGGTTGAGCTGAAAAAGAGTTCAAAATCCATGCAATTACAAGTAGCTGCATGTCCACTCCTAATCTAAGAACTGATAAAACAGTTTAGTATGTGGTATATACTTTGTCCCAATTTGGAAAATAGTAAATCTGATGACTATAACTAGCAGGTACTTCCATTTATTTCCTTACAAAACTCTGATCCAGTGCTGTATAGGTTACAGACAAGGAATGGAAAGCTAGGGCTTTGTGATGAAACATGGATGATCATAAGGAAAGACATTTGGGGCAGAGAGAAAACATAAGGAAAATAATCAGGGGACAAAGTTCACTTTTGTTTTTATAGAACTCAGATTCTGGCAGGAAAGGCTGAAAAAGCCTGAACAGGATGTGGTTGTTCCTTCAAGGGTACTGGGGTGGCAGGAGAAAGGTTGAGGCAACCATAGCTTTGACTGTAAACTCTCCTAATCCCTTTGTCCCCTAATACATTGCAGGTGTACCACTTTAGAAAATTCCCACCTCATCATCATATGGGAGAAACTGGCTGGACCACATGGTCTTGCAGGTAGCTTAATGGTGTTGGCAACAGTTCAGTTTTCCTACTTTGTGTACAACATGGCAGAAGAAGAAATTGATTTTAAAAGATCTAAGGAGTGAGATCCTTCAGCAGATGGAAAAGGATAAGAATACAGGAAACAGTAGAAGTGGGAATGCAGAAGTAAATTGTGGGGGAGGAAGAGAAGCGAGTATCCTATGGCATCAATAGTAAACAAATCTTCTAAAGTGAACAATTGGTTAATTAATTTATAGTACATATCATTTGTGCATATCTTTACATTTATTGTGGGGCATTTGACATGTATACATAAGTCATTTAATTCTCTTTCCATCCACTCCCCTCCCGTTCTTCCCTGGTCCTTCCAAATGTTGATCACCTTGCCATTCATTCAGTTTCTACTTTTTCCTTCTTTTTTCCCCATCCCCTTTACTTCTGCTCCTTTTCTTCTGCTCCCATCTCTTGCTCCCCTGCTGCTTGAAAAAGATCTCCTTCTTATTATCTTTTTCACTTTGTTCTTTTTTCTCAAATAAGAGAAACCATACAATAATTAAACCATGCCATGTATCTGATATATTTCACTTAATATTACAGTCTCAAGGTGCATCCATTTGCTTACATACATCTTATAGAAAAACCCTTAAATCCTAGTTATAGTAAGAGTGCACCATAGACAGTATGACTAAGAATTCCTGAGACTTTAGTTTAAAATGGCCCATAAATAAAAGCAAAACAACTAGTTATGCTGATATGCACATTTTTCTAGATTTGATCTAAGTAGGTAATTGGTAAAAATGTCATGAGGCCACTTTCTGTTTGAAAAAGAAACATAAAAATAAAGAGTAAAATCTGATGACTTGTCATTTAATTGATAATTTAATAGAATTTGTATGTATGATAAATGAAAGAATAAAAAGAAGACACTCTTTACAATGACAAACTCTTAATTAATCAGGAGTTTTATGAATGAAGCATAAGTAGGATCCAGAAATATAATTGCTCAGCATAAAATGTGTTAAAGTGAGGGATTCATAGCTAAAGCAATTACAACATGGAAAGAGATACTTGAAGTGTGTTCTAGGTGTGAGCAGACACTCTAGTGAGTTGAGAGTGTAAAAAAACTTAAAAGCATGATTTTTCTGCATGATCACTGAAAGATTATGTTAACATATTCTTGGCAAAAGGAGTGGGTGACATTATAGAATTAACATGTCAGCACTAAGCAACATGTTTTATGGATGTGATACAAGAGAAAATCTAGAGTTGCAAGACTAAATGGATGTTGATACAAGTATTCCTCTTAGAGTAGCAGAGTAAGGCTAATGCCTCAGAGGAATGACAAAGCTTGACTTGTAGGATGAGTCATACCCTCCCCCAACTACGTGGGTACCCTAATCCCTAGGATGTTTGCATAGGTTACCTATTTTCAGGAGGAATTATATGAAAGCTCATGAAATGAGAAACATTTTATGGATTTTGTGGGTAACCAATGTAATTACAACGTCCTGACATAAGCAAAAAGATGAAATGTTACAGACAAACAGAAGATGTGAGTATAGCAGCGCAGGCCAGATACTAAAAGATGCCATGTGAACATAATTGAAGATTATGTGCCATAAATCTAGCATTCTCTGGATAGTGAGAGGTGATTTATGTAGGGAAAATAAATTCTACTGCTGTGCCCAGGCTAGCCACATGAAGTTTGGAGTACTGCTACTGTGCTCCACCACAGCAGCTCAATAGGAGGATAATGCAAGACTTAAATCCAAACAGACAAAATGCTTTGACATCCAGAGAGATGAAAAGGGTGATAATGACCAGGAAGTGTTATCCAGGTAATGGTAAGGGAAAAAATAATCAAAATTTTTATGTTAGGGCATAGGATTTCAGGATGTTTTTAAAAAGTAATAAGCTCAAATAATGCCATGTGAGGTTTGTGGCATCAAATAAAAATCTGAGATTAAATGTTGGCTTTCTTCCCAGAAATTCTAATCTACTTCAACTCTCAAGAACATTTTATCTCTTTATAAGCAAACACTTTTCTAAGATTGCAGAAAGAATAAACATTAATTCTAGTAAACATAAGACACTTACTAATTACTGAGACTTTCATTTTCCAGAAACCATAACCAAGACTTTTAGACTTAATCTTCATACTATCAATATCGTACTGCCATATTATTATATGATTATTATATATTTGATTATTATATTTTTTTACTTTTAATACTTTAAAAGTACTTAGGTACTGCTTCATATGTTCCACCGTTCACTACTTTAAATATCAAACTATCAAGGCATCATAGTTTACCAACTTTCCAAATTCTTGCAGTCAAACATCTTAGTTTTCCAATCCTTCCAAAAATAGAGCAATTAGGGTTATTACTTGTTTTTTTTTTGTTGTTCATCAGATAGTATTAGATGCATCATGTATTATGTAAGACATTTGGCTGGTTTTAATGTCTTACATGTTGATAGTTTTGTACAAGCTATATAACAGGCAAATGCTATCATTAATTTATAATCTCAGTTCCCATTTGTAAAATGATTTCCAGGATTATTTACTTTGATTAAGCTGCATGTTGTGTGACTGTTTTGACAACGCATTTGTCATTGGGCAGTCTTTGCAGGACTAGATATTATAAATACAACACCAAAACAAGAAAGACTTAGAAAATATTTTGTTATGAGAAAGCTAAAAAGGCCAATATTTCTAAACTTTTACCTTCATAAAAATTTTATGTTAAAGAGAAAACAGCACAGAAAAGAAGAATAAAAAACTAGAGATATACAAACATCTATAAGAACAACAACCCCCCAATAACAACATTAAATGTTTACCTTATGATATGTAGATTTATTTATGTTTCATCCTTCCTGGGTATGATTGTGGTGTATGACAGAGTGACACGCAGTCAAAATGGGATTCCTTATAATCAAGGAAAGAAAAACATGAAATCAATAGAAAATAGGCATCAGGGTTTTCTATTCTAAATAATGTTAACTACTTTTTTCAATCTCACAGTAACAAATGATGTATGAAAGTGGAACAGAAAAAAAATTACTCAAAATGATTAATTCATCACTAAATAGGAGTTAACAGTTGTCTTTTCTATGAAATAGTGAATTTATTACATTTCTCTTCTTAGAGTTGGAACACTAATCCCAGGCCTCCTATCTGGCACTGGTTAAACATTAAGTACTCAGTGCAGTGCAGCTGGCAAACATTAAACAGGCAGTGCCACTGACAACCAATAGGAGGAGCAGCAGCATTGGTTAACTGTTATAAGCAGCTCCTTGACTAAAAATAAGCAGGGGATCAGTCCCAGGGATTCCAGTTACAAATAGGCAAAACAGCAGAATCTGCTCAGCAAGAGGAGTAAGAAGCAATGGATTCCAGACATCAGCGTGTGAAACTGAATGATGGCCACTTCATTCCTGCACTGGGATATGGCACCTATAAGCCTGATGAGGTAACAGGAGCATTGCTTGGGGGAGGGAATTAAAAAGAAAGTAACCTGGGAGGAAGGGCTGACTTGGCAGGTCATGTTGCTCAGTGCCTACATGATTCCAGGAGTTTTACCAGGTTTTCTGTTTTTCTAAGTTAGATCTTTTTCATGTACTACATGAAGGTTATTTGAATTTCTTTTGTATCAGATATCAATTATAGTATCACCTATTGATTTTTCTGCGCAGTGATTTATCTACTTATGCTGTCAGTGTGTTATGCTGCACAGTGATTTCAGTTTATTAGCCAGATAGAGCAAGAAGATGAAAATCTGCAGTCAACGTAACTGCCTGTTAGATTCTTCCCTTCTACCCTTGATGTTTAATTGCAATGGAGATGGTTTCTTTTTTATTTATTTACTTTAAGAAAATTGTATTTTCTTCCAATAAGGCAAGATTCAGAGTAATAGCTTTCCAAATGTTAACTGAGATGAGAAATATAAAATAATAGGAAGGACTGCTGTTCTGTTTGGGTTAGTGTTCAATGTCTCAAAGTGAATTCTGGATATGGGCTAATGCACTCACTCAAGTGTGGAAAATAGTCCCAAAAGTACATTTTGACATGATGATCAGGAATCTGGCATCTAGTAAGAATATAAGTGAATTATAGGTCCACCATTTTGTAAGTTAGACCTAAATAATACAGATTGTCTTCGGAAATAAAATTAGCAAAGTAGATGGTTCACTGAACTAAAGAAAACTTATATGCCAGTATCATCCTCAGATCATTTAATTGTAAGAAAAAGAATTAGCTCTCTAACATTGAATTCATAATTTTCCATTTAATAAGACACAAGGAAATATCCAAAGAACAATTCTGTAGGTGTGAGAGAACTTGGCTGCTATAAGGACAAAGAGGTATGAAGCACAGGAAAAACCAAGGTTACACATAAAGTTGGACCCCAGGTCAACTTCTGAGTGACCTGACATCTGGGAAACTGACAGCTGCTATCAAAACAGATAATAGGGCCTAATCTGTCTTTCACTGTAACTTTATTGAAGAATGTGATAGAGTTTGAAATTCTTAAGTTAAAATGCATGTGTTTGATTTAAATTCTTACTGTATAATAAGTGAACTTTCCTTTTTTATGGTATATAATTGCAATATGTAGCATATGTAGGAATTGATAGATATAGTATATGTATCACCATTTAATTATTTGTGCTTTTAATCCAAAACCAAGTCAGTAGACATGGCAACAATTTTAAATTTCACTCTAGTCATAATCTTCCTTAAAAGAAAAGTGCGTGTTTGAAAGGTGGACAAAAGTACCAATAATATTTTTTGTGATGAAAGTAACTTTTTATCTATAACTTCAATGTCCTTCTAACACACATTCCAAAGCCACTCTTATTTCTTGTATGTAGCAAGATTGGCTATGTAACATAATAGCCATTCTTATCTCATTCAGGAGCTCAGAATGAATTAAAATGAGACACCCATTATTTGTTCAAATTCCTATTAATAATATGGGCACTATCTAGCATCTAGAAACTTTGATTTCAAAATATGTACAATTGGTGGCTACCCTAACACACTGACAGCATAAGTGGAGTTTACATATCCTGTTTTTCTTTGGGATAGTGGGTCCTGCTATGTCCATGCACAGGGAAAATATGCACCTCATCCCTGCTAAAACCATAGGAAATACTTTCAGAACCTTCCTTGAACACAGCATTTTTGATACATGGACAAAATTCAATTCATAGGGTATTCACTGTGTTAAGTATAACTCCATTAGTAGATTGAAAAATGTGCACAGTATTTGTTCTATAGCTTGCCCCCTTGCATGCTTCTTCCATGTGAATTTTATTTTGTGACCTCACTATATAATTTATAATGTGACTATAATCGCATGCACAATTAGAATTAGTCGTAGCACAAATTACTGAAACTGAGGTGCTCCTTGTGTTTTCAGATGCCACTGAGTACTAGGATTGCCAAGGCCAAGATGATTCTTGAGATGCCAAAACTTGGGAAATGCTCAGGCAAACTGGATTCAGATTCATTACTCCAAAATCAGAACTAGATGAAGTCCAGAAAAAGTTGATCTTAAGGTTTTTGCTTTTCCTGATGACCTTAATAATTTCTCTCTAACATATTTTCTTTTGTCTTGTGGATAAGATTAAGACTAGTGCAGGAGACTAGTTTCTTGTCACACAAGTAATCTGGACTGGGGATTTAGCTCAGTGGCATAGGTGCCTGCCTTGCAAGAAGGCAGTCGTGAGTTTGATCCTTGGTACCAATAAAAAAAAAAAAAAAAATGAAAAAGCCAAAAAAAAAAAAAAAAAAAAAAAAGCAAGATGAGGATGACAATGGAATATAACAACCAATCCAGTCTAGTACTATCTAGAGTATATGCTGTGAGTCTTCAATTCTACATTTGGCTTTTGCTAGATTCCTAAGACTGAAAGTCTGAAGGGCACCAAATTGGCTATAGATGCTGGATTTCACCATATTGATACTGCATATGCTTACCAAGTGGAAGAGGAGGTAGGACAGGCCATTAAAAGCAAGATTGCAGAAGGCCGTGTGAAGAGAGAAGATATATTCCTCACTTCTAAGGTATTTCATGTATACTGTTCAGGTTGCTAATGGATGAAATATTACATGTGTAAATAGTATACTGTTGGATGAAAGCTTGGTGAAATCTGCTTAGTGGTACTAGTTTAGTCACATATAATCCACAAGTAACATCTAGTATCAAAACCAGAGAAATATTTGGAACTTACAATCATTTTACAGATTCAGAGCATTGAAGTCCCTTTATTGTGAGTCCTAAAACAAACAGTATGATTAGCATAGCCTGTGGAGTTCAGCACAAGTATGGCCAAATTATGTTCTTTCTTATATTCTTTATGGTTTTTAAAGTTTATACTATTATGATAGCATTGCTTTATTTTATCAATATAGCAGAACAGTATCAGAGAGTTTTTAGTTAGTAGCAAGATATACCTAACATATCTTGATTTGAACACAGCATATACAAATTTTCAAGATGTGTTTACCTTCAGTTATGTAAATAAGGAGGAATTCTTCTCCAGTAAATTAAATAAAGAAGATAATTGAAATAAAGATAGTTCTAGAATCTCTATGAAACAAAATTCAGAGAATGTATAGTATTATTATTTGACAAAATTTTATGTAAGTAATTTGAATAATTTCCTTCCACTGCACAATAAGTACATTGAATAATAAAACTCAAACATGATGGAATTTATGGAAAAAGGCAAGATCAGAAAAAAGACAAGACTCAATGGAGGGTTATCCTCAATTTCTATTCAGTATAAAATTATTTTAATACTTGGTGAATTTTGATAATCTAGCATAATTTCTATTTTTTAACCTCTACAGCTTTGGTGCACATTCCTTAGACCAAACATGGTCCAACACAACTTAAAAACATCACTCAACAAACTTGGTTTGGACTACATTGACCTTTATGTCATTCATTACCCAGTGCCTATGAAGGTAGGCAATCTGGACCATCGGAACTGACTACCTGTGTCTGTTGGCATTGATAACATTTCTGTGAGTGGTAGTGTGAATCTTCTGTGATAAATTTAGATAAATACAATTTAAATAATTTATAGAAACTACTCAATGTAATGTACTCAAATGAGTTCCTTGGATTAGAAAAACAAAAAGCCCAAGCCATGACTGCATTTACAGTTTAAAATTGATTTTCAGAGTTGTCTCCCTTTACCCAGGCTTTGGCTGCATCCATAGCTCTTTGCTTATGTCTTCTGCCAACCTGCTTCACTAGGGGCAAATTAAAGCAGTTCAAGTATCATGATCTTAAAAAAGTTGATATTTTCTTTGCATTTTCTATCATCAAATTAAAAATTCATTAGAATCTTAATTGGTCATATTTGGGACAGACCTTTCCTTTGTACCCACATATATTACTGTTGTTTAAAGTACAGTAATCCTCTTAGGAAAGTCAAGAATGTAATCCATTACTCCTGCAGGTGAGGGCAGGTGACAACTGATTTTACAAGTGAAAGAGATGCATTTTCTAGAGGAAACTATAGATGAAGGAGAAGTAGTATAAGTCAAATAGTAGACCCCTCCTCCAATCTAAAACTTGCAGAAATGTTATTTATAGTGCATATAATTAAAGGCAATAGAGTGACAAAAGCACCTAAGGATATCTTCACCATTCCACATGCAAACTGCTTTGTAAATACAAGTAAGTGAATAACGCTTTACTTACTTCATGGAGCTTAAGCACCCTATACATTAGACATATGTTCATGCATTTCTGTGGTTGTGAAGCATGTGCTTAATAAGATTGCACTAATAGTGTTTCTATTTCAGCCAGGTGAAGAGCTTTTTCCCACTGATGAAAAGGGGAAAACATTATTTGATACAGTAGATATCTGTGCAACATGGGAGGTGAGTACCTGTAGGACATGCCAAAGAGTTATTTGTGACAGAGATTCAGGTCATTCTCCTACCTGGAAGAGTAGGTAGGTTATCATCTTTAGTTCTACAAAAAAGGAATTATGTAAAGTTATTGAGGATCTAACCAAGATTCCCAACTGCTTATATGAAGAGTATATCAAAAGGGTGAAATAAGAGAAAGAGACAATTTAGTAATGTGTAAAGTGGGGCTGGGGAGTTTAGTGCTTCAAGATGAGCAAAGACCAAGGCACTCAAACTTGCTAACTATTTCATTAGCCAGAGCAAGGGGAGTGCTAGTGAACGATTCTATGAACACCAGTGACTGATTGCTGTGGGCCAGTAAGAAGCCCAAAGTATTACTGCAAGGATGGGACAAAGGCCAGTAAGGAAACTGTGGTTTCCCCAGGTGAAAGTCTTACTACTGCTTCATTGCTTTAAAGATCCTTGTCTTCCTAGGTAAGTCTTATCTTGCTCTGTAAACACCATGGTATCACTAGCTACCAAGCTTTAGCTGTGATCAAAAGGAAGTGGGGAATTTCCCCATTCCAATCTGGCTCAAATAGCAGGAAGGACGGCCTCAGACATCCTCTAGACTTGATTTATAATTTGTGGACCCCAACATAAAGTAATATATTACTGGAATATGATAGGCAGGAAAGGGAACGATTGAAGATAGGGGGGATTAGTGTCTCTGACTTTCATAGGAGTGATGTCACAGATTCCCAAAGAGAACCTAGAAATACTTTTTCTGGATATCTGCATCTTTTTCTCTTAGTGCTAGTTTAGTTTATAATCAGTTTCAGGTAGCTTCATTGCTAGCTCTTAAAAATGTTCCTTCTGGTACTTATATCTTTCATTTACATTGGTGTACCAGTTGTACACATCACATTTCACAAAATATGTTTTTCCTAGGCCATGGAGAATTGTAAGGATGAGGGATTGGCCAAATCCATTGGGGTGTCCAACTTTAATCGCAGACAGCTGGAGATGATCCTGAACAAACCAGGACTCAAGTACAAACCTGTCTGCAACCAGGTGAGTTCTCTCAGGGTTCTCTTCATCTCTTACTGATTTCTTGGTTTTTGTTGTTCTGCTAGTAATCTATTGTCCCGTTACTAGCCCCAGTGCATTTTCCTTTTGTGGGAATGAAGTTTCTCTTAGTAGTGTCTCTGTCACAGAGAACATGGGGGTTTCTCTCTCATGTCTTGGTGAAGTCTTAGTGAATAGAGAGGGAAGTCCTGTAGTGGCTACTTTGTGTAAGACTCTGCAGATGTACAAGTTATCCAGGAAGGCAGCAGGTGTTAGGATACCTCAGATGGAAGGTGCACTGCTCCCTGAGTTAGGAAGCATGGCCAGAGAATGAATATGTGAAGATCTTGCGCAGCACAGAGGATGAGAAAGAGCCCATGAAATTAAGCAGTGGAATTAAACAAGCATGGAATGGGGCTGGGGATTTAGCTCAGCGGCATAAGCACCTGCCTTGTAAGCAGGCAGTCGTGAGTTCAATCCCCAGTACTAATAAAAAAGAAAAAGAAAAACAAAAACAAAACAAGCATGGAATAAAATGAAGAGGTGATCAGAGGTAAGAGTGTGTGTAGAAGACAGTTACTTGAGTCCTTTGTCTTATTATGTAGTTTAGGGTTCTAGGTCAGAGACATACCATTATAAAAGAACACCACAGACTACAGAAAATCATCTAAGAAAGACAGGTCAAGTTACCTGTTTCTAGTGCCATTAAAGATGGATGAATATCATACTCAGAAACTCAGAGCACAGCACACAGCTGACAATGCCGCTGATAATATCTTTATCAGTTTCCCCCTTTGCTTTTGTGTAATAAAAGCTGCTGCTTCTACTCATTTGTTCTTTGGTTGCTTCTGTTTGAAAGCTTTCTTTTTCTGGCAAACTGCACTCTTGCAGTAAACGTTTTAGATTAGAAGGTGTGGTTTTTAAATATTTGTTATACAGTGAATGATGCAACAATCTATCAAATATAAAAGACACAAACTGGATATACTTTTACTGTTGGCTTAGCCCAAATTATGTTATCAAGAATATGTCAAGCATTTACAATAATTGAGAGCACAGTTCTAAACATCCATGTTATTCAGACCGTGCAAAACTGTTGATATTTTGCCACATGATCAGTTATTGATGTGCATAAAATGTTTATTTTTTCTGCATCTCCTCAAGGTATATATGATTATTAAACTGTAAAGACACCTAGGGAGTGGAAATTGTGTCTCACAAAGCTTTATATTCCATTATCACTCCTAAGAAACTCACAAATAATGCACTCTCCTCATCAGAATCCAGTATTTATTTAAATTTCCTTTGATTTTAGGAAAAAAATTTTATAGTTTTTCTAAGACTCAACTGTTTCACACATTACTTTGTGTCACATTGCTGTAGAAGAATCATTTATTCTATGGATAAGTAACTAGGGTGTTTGATATATTCTAGATTTATCAGGTTATTATCTATTTATGTCAGTAAATTTGATTCTACATTCCAGGCCTCTGTCAATAAAAAGTTAGACTCCAGTTCTACATCTCATTTAACTTCAAAAATGTGGTCAGAACATAAGCTTAGTATGCTGTGTCCTTCAATTATACTCCAGATCACAGGTCATCTCACTATTAATGGTGTTAATTTTACTTATTTGGTTAACTACCTTTAGCCAGATACCTCTTTGTGAAAATGTATTTTTCTGCATTATATTTACTAGTATCCTGAGTCCTGCAGTACATCCTGGTCAAAAGACAGTTATCAATCCAAGACAAATTTTCACTCATTTGTTGAGTATCCATCAGTGATTTCTGAGACAACCAAGGTCTTAGTGGAATTTGTCAATATTCACTTTCTTTCTAAATACTTTTATTAGCAGCTATTTTACAAAAACAATTTTACCCATCATGTCACGGTAAATTATTTCTGTGATACAGCATAAACATTAGCATCATCATTTTACTATCAAAATTATGGGAAAGAGTTAAAATAATAATGTTTGTCAGCAAGGGAAAGCTTTTTTATCTTTTTCTTCTTGTAGGTCTATTTCTGCAAAATATAAATTTTTATTTACTCTATATGTTAGAAATAATTTTATTTACTATTGCTTTTCATAAACAAATCTTCTCAACTGTAACCAGTAGAATTCAAACCAAATTGATTTCTTTGGATTTTCAAACTTGTGCTCTTCAATCTTTGACCAATTTGCTGATTCCTGATTTCCAAATTTAATAGCAGATTTGATGTCCATATTTCAAAGGTGTTTATATTTCTGCAGAATTAGAAATTTCCATATCATTTTGAAGTGAAAAAATAATTACCATTCAAAATCTTCTTTATAGAGATGGTATACCACAGGAAGGTGGTGGTATATGTTTTTATTTTTCAGACCCATCCTGAAGATATTATATATGCTTTTTTAGAAAATGCTTTATTGTTTTCTTTAAATTCAGATATGTTACATGCTTTTATTATTCAGCATCAGTGACTTTTAACATTTATGTGTCATGTTAATGTTCGATATCATATGATCTGATACCTTTAGAACTTGTCCATTTACAGGTGGAATGCCATCCTTATTTCAACCAGAGCAAACTACTAGATTTCTGCAAGTCAAATGATATAATATTAGTTGCTTATGGTGCACTTGGAACCCAACGAGATAAAAAATGGTAAGAAAAGCAACAGGGGACTTACTGAACCACCATTGGTCATGAAATGTTTTTAGTCCTACAGTACTCAGCTTTTCACACTTCACTCATGGATAAAGGAGTATTTACATTTTTAGAAGATCCCAGAAGGTAATGATGCTGCTTCTTCAGGGGCTATATTGAAGGACACTTGGTGTAGGGTCAGCACCGTGGCCTGTATTGGAAGCCTCATGACAACCCAAATACTTGGCTTTGGAATTTGAGAATTTCTGTCTGCCTTTTCAGGGTAAATCAGAGCTCCCCAGCTGTCCTGGATGATCCAGTTCTTTGTGCTATGGCAAAAAAGTATAAACGAACTCCAGCCCTGATTGCCCTGAGATACCAGCTGCAGCGTGGAGTTGTGGCTCTGGCCCAGAGCTTTAAGGAGAAGGAAATAAAAGAGAACTCGCAGGTGATGGTGGGGCTGTGGCCATCAGAGCTCTTTCTCATCATTCTTCATATGTATGCTTCTTTGAAGTCACGCAGGATATGTTTCAGTAGAGTTCATATTTGTAACATTTTCTAGGCATTTGAGATTTCAGGGGTGTTTAGTTGTGTTTTCTCCTACAAAAGAAAAAGAAAAAAAGAAACAAAAAGATCCTGCACTTGAAGGAGAGAATAAAGTGCAAGGAAAGGGCTCTTTTAACACTTCTGTAAAATCCTTCTGGTTCCCTTTTTTCCTTTTGTTTTCTTTGTTTTATTTTGATTTTTTTCAAAATAGAATCTCACTATGTAGTTCAGGCTGGCATTGAACTCACTATGTACCCTTGATTGCCCCAGAACTCATCGTGATCCTCCTACCTCTGTGTCCTAAGTGCTGGGATTGCAGATCTAAACCATCATGCCTGGCCAGGGTTTTCAAACACTATGGGAAAAATAATCCAAATTCACATACATAATTTTTAAAAGCGTCCAACTTTCCCAGAAACCATAATTGCATTTCTATTCTCCTTCCCATTATAAATCGTCTTATTTACAATATCTATTGTCTTAATTACATTAGAAAGTTATCTTGCTGTGGAGAATGGTGAAATTTTTCCTTACATCTCTCATTTAGAGAAAAGCTCCAAGACTAATGCAATGCATGTTTCTTTCTTGAATTCATCAGTTATTTAATTTAACATTTAATGTTAATTTAATTTAACATTTTACTCTCTCTCTATTAATCTGTTTTTCTTTTGGCACAATAGGGAACTATGAAAAACCTAAGGATTCATTTCTTTAACTATGTTAGCAATTAGTAAAAAAAGCTTGTTTTAATGTTTAAAGTATTCCATGTTTAGACAAGATCCTCATAAAACCAGCCTTATAAACATTCGTTATTTATGATTTAGTATTTCAACAAGTTTTGTCTCTAATTGTTAATTGATCACTTATAGGATATAGAAATACAACTGAATCAATGAAAATTACTCAATTATTTATGTTTCAAACCTTGCTCTAGAATTCATTCTTCCCTTTTTCTAAATAGATGTTCTTTTAACGTAAGTGCTCTCAGTTGTATTTCTGCTCCAGCTTCTTTTCAAATATTTTTGTCAGCTTTTTAAAATTGAATTTCTTAGTCAATGCTAATTTTACAGATTAAAGTGATTGTTGGGGTATTTCCACACATGCATTCATAGCACCAGGTATGCTTCCTATACTCTTGATTCTTTCTCCCAACTACCCTACTAGGACCTTTCCTGTTCCCTAAAGATTCCTGTTAATGTGTTTCTCCCCCCTCCCTCTGCTTCCTTTCTCTAGAGACCAGTGTTCCATCCTATACTTCTGGCACTTGACTTTTCTGGTTTCCTTATTTGAATGAAAATATGGGGGCCTAGGATATCAGCTTGGTGGTGGAAGGCCTGCAAGTTCATGAGTTTGATTCCTGGTACAAAAAACAAAGAGAGAAGAACATGTAATATTTGCCTCTTTACTTTCCAGTTGTGGCAAACAATGGATTTCATTTTATTTATGGCTGCATAGTATTCAGCTCAACAAATAAGTGTCTTTTCTTTATTCATGTGCTAAAGATCATCTGGCTTGATTCTGATATAGGGGAATCAAAGTCCCAGTATACTAGATGTCCAGTATGAGTTTGTGTCTTCTAAAATTGAAGAATGAATTTTAGGAACAATGGCGGTTAGGAGCAGGATAGGTTTATTAAGTGAAAGAATGCTTCTGTCTGAGAGAGAGAGACAGAAGGAGTCGCGCGTGGATTGCCAAGTATCCTGCTATTTCCACATATTTTTATAGAGCAAAACCATGAGGGAAGCTGGGTCAATGGTGTGGGAAAATGGAAAGTCTCATGGAAGGTGAGCATGTGTAGTGGACAACTGGAGTGACTCCTAGAATGCAGAACAATTGCTGCAACTTTGATTATATGGAATCTTATTTCTTGACACTAATATGGCTATGGTATCTCCTCAATTGGCTCTAAGTGTTGCAAATAAAGCTGGTTAAGGTACTGACAGGTAATCAGTAAAGCCATCAGACAGTCTCCTGTTTCCTTGCATTGTGCTCTCTTTAAAATATATAAGCACAGTGGGATGGTAGAGCCAATCAGCTCCAGGAATGTCAACTGGGTATGAGCCTCAAGGTAAAGAGGCTATGACTCCCCAAGGCACAAAATTTTACAAATCAGAAACATAGGCAACAACTTGCTAAAGCAGTTCAGTTGCTACCTTAATTGAATTATGCAAATTGATCCTTGCCCATAGCAAGGATCTCTGCATTTTGCAGAGATGCTTTTGTCCCTACCTGACTAATCAGTTATTACTCACATTGTTTCTACCATATTGACTATGACTCATCCTCAAATGACCCCTTTTTCATGAGATAATAAATTCTGGGAGAGCCTAGGATCAAGGCCTTTTTCTTCATGGAGATTGGCTGTTATTAACTTAAAATATGTCTTGGTGTCTTTACTCTCTCCATGGGTTGCATTGGAGATGGTAGATTGAAATTAATTTACTGGGATTCCAATAACATCTCAATGAGATTATAAATACAACTTTTTGGATTGCAAGGAAGACTGGAAAAGAGATTATAATACTTGGAAGACTATACACAATATTTGAGATTACAATAAGCATGAGGTGGGACAGAACTGTGATCAGCCAATAAAACCAATTGCCCATGTAAAACTGATTAAATCAGGATCAAAAGGGGAAGCAAGTCAAATAGGCATGAGTACAGAATAGGGATTTTGCCAGTAAAGTGTTGCATTAATGGCTCCTGGCTTGCACAATGTGAGGGATACCTAGTTAGAATATCAACCCCTTATGTTTATATGTAGGGTACAGTTGCATTTGTTTTGAGATCTGGCCTATGGCACAGATGTATTTCTCTTCCAAGTTTGCAATGTATCTGCTGTTGGAGGGTTGGTCCTGTGTGACTGCCTATAGGATTTCCAATTAACTCAGTTGCCTATAACCATTCCACAGTGTGGCTATTGATGAGAGTGCTTCAAAAAACCTCGAAGTGTAGTTATCTTTTTGGTACAGAGTTCTTCTCATTTGGATTTATCCATCCTAGTTTAATTGCAGTATGATATGAGTTATATTTTAGACTCTCCATAGGTTTTTCCACAATGGCCACAGTAATTTACATTGTTACCAGCAGTATACATGCATTTCTTTTTTCCACATATTCTCTAGCATTTGTTATTTACTGAACTTCTAATAATGGTCATTTTAACTGGAAAGAAAGGGCTACAGATAGCTGAGCTAGTTAGAACTACTATAGGCAGTCAGACAGGGCAAGGCCCTGGAGGAAACCTACACAGAGGACCAAATGTTTTATGAATTTGGAGGAGAGACACACCTCTTGCTGTGGGCCAGATCTCAAGCCAGAAAGCAAAAACAAATGCAACCACACCCTAAACATAGAGGTAAGGGATCAGGTGTGAATCACCTGGAGAAGCCAGGAATCACCATTCCAATCCCCTTCAGGCAGAGTCACTGCTGTTAAGCATGCCTGCTTACTATGTGACTCACTTTCTCTTTTATTCCTGATTTAATCAGTTTTACCTGAGCAATTAATCTCAATGGTTGACAATAGTTCTGTCCCACCTTATGCCCACCTTGCCAGTTTTTAGGTTTTGTCCACTTTTAGTCCTGCCTCACTTCAATATTTTACTCTATACAAGCCCCTAGAAAAGACGAGTCCCTGGCAACCCACTTGGGCTCCCTTCTGGCTCTCTCTCAAACAAAAAGAAGCTTTCTTTCTCTCAAATGTTTTTGCTCTTAACCTCCATTGTTCCTAAAATTCATTCTTCAGTTTTAGAGAACATGAGCTCATATTGAGCATGTAGTAGGTTGGGAATTTTGTTCCCCTATACCAAAATTATAGTCCACTGTTACTTTGATTTGGGTTGTTATGATAATTGGTTAAAGTAAACTTTTTTCATACAATTGCTTGCCATTGGTAAGTCTTCTTTTGAGAAGCATCTGTTTAGATTTCTAGATCATGTTTCATTTGATTTGTTTGTGTAGTATTCATCCTTTAAAGTCTCTTAACTATTTGAAATGTCAAATCCTTGCTAGATTTACCTTTTGCAGATATTGATAGAACTGTGGGGGACCGGCGGCAGTTGAAGAGATAAAAAGTATGAAATAAAATTGACCTTTATTTTGAGAATGCGGGGAGAGACCCTCCAACACCTTGGGGTGCAGCATCTCCCCCTGGGATCGGTGATCTCTCCATGGAACACATGGAGTGGGGGCATATAAATAGCGTAGGTTTGAAGTGGAACCTAAGGGGCATTAGTGATGCACAGGTAGCCCATTGGCACTCATTTGGTGCCAGAGGTAAATTCCTAGGGGTGGGGAAGATACAGTCACTGGTAAATTCCTAGGGGTGTGGAAGATGGAGCTCCTTGAATCCGCCTGAGGCTTTACCAACTACTGTGTCCTGTCTGGGCCAAAACTCTTTCATATGCCATCTTATGATTGTTATTGTGAAAAGGGTGAAGATTTCTTTCTTTACTGATTCCTGCTGGAAGGGGGCACTGTATTGGGGTCTAGGGGTGTCAACGGGATGATGATTGAAGCCCAGGTGGAAGCTGGTGCCAGGTGTTTTTGCCAGGACAACTTCACTGGTGAATGCATGTATATGAGACTGGAAAAACAAAGAGACAAGATGTTATGAGGAGGCATGGCACTGTCATATTTAAGGACCCATGTGAGGTAGAAGGAAAGGTACCTTTGATTTTTATATGTCATTATATCAGGACCATGTTGAGGTAGAAACATTTCCATGGTAAGGCAGAATTCTGAAAATAAATATGGGGTTAGGAGGAGTAAAGTTATGAGAGGTGATTACTCCCCCATCTGAAAGGGTAAAAGTTAAGAGGGTAAGGTGTGTCTCTGGTATGCATGACGTAGGAGCCTTTAGGAAATGCTGTTGGGAGTTCTGCTGTGAAAAAAGGATAAGAAATTAGAAACCAAATTGGATAACAAAACATGACAGCCTGAGAGTTGTGGTTGTGAGGCCTTGGTGAAATGGAGATGAGTAGGCAAGAGGATGGTTAGATCTAGGGCTGGAAGGGCACTTCTTAGCCTGAGTGATGTGAAACCAGGATGGCATTCTAGCAACTTTGATCACTATTGAGGTTGCCAAGAATATCAGGTATGGGTTGCTGAAACCTGGTTGTAGTCCTTGGAATGATTTGTTATAACAGGACTTTAGCAAGTATATCAGCAGTCTCCCTGGTTGTGTGAAAGGCTTTTATGTATCCTGAAAAAGTATAAACAAAGTGAGAAGACAAAATTTATCTGTCAGTCTTGACCAGGGTTGTCTGAAAAATTGGTGAATAAGAAAGGAAGGGGGTGGTTTATATCACTGAGGAGAGGTTTATTAGCGATAACAAGTGTAAGCTGTTGAGACCTCAGTGTCTCTAGGTCAGTCTGTGTAAACACAAGGGAATAAAAAGCATTTTTAAGATTTAGGACTGTAGAATGAGTGGTGGAGGGATGATTTGGCACCACTGGGTAGTCTGGGACCTGCACGAAATAGGCCCTTTTTGTAAATGGCATAGGTTGGCTGTCAATACCCCTAGAGGCTGAGGATTTAATATAGCAGCCTGGAAACTCAGGAAGAAGTCTGTACATATGGCCTCTATGTCCGCAAATACAGAGAATGTCTTACCGGAGACTTTTAGTGGGACTTTGGACTCTGAGACAGACACCTTAAAGTAGACTGCTGTTGGCCCTGAGCCCTGTCAGTCTTCAGCAGGAAGTTTAAGCTGATCTGTCGGCAATGAATCTGGCAGTGTTGGCATTTCCTGTGAGGGCTAGAAGTTAGGATGGCTTACCCACTATCTGGTGGCTAGAACAGTTTAGTAACCCTGGGGTAAGGTCTCAAAGGAATGCCAGGATGGGGCACTGTCTTGCCCAACATCTTCTGCTGCATTTGATGCATGGTCCATGGGGGGCCCAGGAAGCTCCACTTTGTGTCAGTTTACCTGTCTCAGAACTCCAAGTGTCACAAGTGTTATCTCTGTTGTTGAAAATATGAAGAACCATATTAAGGTCTCTACAGGTTTGAAGGTCAAGTTTTGCCTTTTTGTTTGGGATTTGGACTACATTAGAAAGTATCTGTAGAATTCAGTAAGTATGCAAGAGTTAAATATAATCAACAGGGTATTTATAAATTTAGTAATGGCTTCTCATAAGGAGGAGAGGTCTAGAGAATTTTAGGAACTGACATGTAATTTATGTCATATATAAATATTTCTTTATGTTATTAAAATGTCTAATGCCATCTGATTTTTGGAGGATGGCCTGTTTAATTAATTTTTACCTTTTTATTTAGGAGAGAAATCAGCTACGGTGTTATTTAATATCAGTTGAATATAGTTAATTATGGCTTGGTGGAGGGCTGACCCAGGGCAGGCAGATAGGCTGGGAAAGGTTTAAGTTTGGCTTCTGCCACACTTTTGGTCTTGTTGTTTTGCATATATCATATAATCCTTGTCTTGGAAAAGAGCTAGTGGTTCCCAGCAAAAGGAATTTATAATTACCTCTTAATTTTGGTTGTTAAACATTTAGGAGATTGTTGAAGGCTTTAATTGATAAACAAGGCTGGTAAAATTACTAGGTGGCCACTTTTCCATTTATCAGCCAAAGTCTTGTCTATTGTTGGCTTATTTAACCTTGATTAAATGGTCTGAGAATGTAAAAAAATAGCATCTCTGAGCCGAGCTGCAGAGCTGCTGTTTATCTGTGTTTGTGGTCTGGTGCTTTTGTTTGGGAGATATGCTTATTTGGGAGACACACAGCACCTAAAGCAGGATGGAACTCTGAGCCTGGGTGGGGCGCTCCAGGGTGGGGGTGGCACACACAGAGTAAAGGTGGGGTGAGCCCAGGGCATAGCCTGTGAGGCGGGGTGGGACTGCCCCCAGAAACACACGCAAGGCAGAGGTGACAAAGGCAGCAGCAGTGGCAATGGTGGGCACCCAGCACACGGGGCCAGAGCTGGGAGGTGGATTTGGGATGTGGCGTGAAGCTGAGACCTTACACGCTGGCAGACTGACACAGAACTGAGCTGCCACATGGAGCCAAAACTGCTCGTGGGGTGTGTGGATTAGGGCGTGGTGTTAGAGCCAACCCCCTCAGACCCAGAGTGTGGCATGAGAGCCAAGATACCACGTGGAGTTGGGGTGCGGCGTGAAAGTTTAAAGCAGTCCACTTGTATCTCTTAACACTGTTTTGGGCTGGAGCGTGGCATGAGAGCTTAAAGCAGCCCGTGCATATCTCTCAACACTGTTTAGACACACCTCTGCCTTCTCCTCGAGGAATGGGTCAGTGTACACAGCAGTGGGGAGGGAGGAGGAGGCAGTGAGGAAACAAAAGGGGATGCTGGTGGGAAAGGACACACATTCTCAAAACAAAGGCTTAAAGATAGAGAGTTTTGTAAACTTGTCGTCCGTGTGATAAGTCATAGATAGGTATGGCTCTTTTGGGGGGTGACAGGAAGTGGTCCCCAAGATAAAATCTGGTGTGGGGTCTGGCCCATGGAGTTATAGCCAGATGAGGCAATGGACCATGGTCTACTAAGTGTAAGTCATCACTTTTTACTTATTTTAGACCAATCGGTATTATATGTTTCCAAACCTCATAATAATTGGCAGTCACCAGTATACAAGTGGATATCTCGTGGGTTTTAGTAACTGTTCTGCCCATGAGAACTTAAAAAACTCTGAAGGATGTGAAAGTCTCCAGTGTGGACACAGGCTGGCCCAGGAAAACTCTGCCTTGGGCTATCTCAGGACATGAGACCATCACTGGAGCCCACGGAAAGGGGGAGAAAACCTGCCTGGGGCCTGGCCCAGTGGCAATCTCTGGGGGTTGCTCACCTGGGGTAAATTGGGTCAGTGTTGTTTGCAAACCAGCGGTGACAAGTTTACAGCTCCCAAGTGTAGAAGTTTGGAATTAATGCAGGATGTGGTCTGGTCCTGGTCCTGAACGGCAGGGGACTCAAACTGGGAAGGCCCCAAGAATCTCTTGTCTGCCGTTGCCAGTCAGGGAATCATATGATAGAACTGTGGGGGAAGGCGGTGGCTGAAAAGATAAGAAGTATGAAATATAAATGATCTTTATTTTAAGAATGCAGGGAGACACGCCTGATCCTCTGGGGTGCAGCACCTTCCCCTGGAGTCGGCAATCTCTCTGTGGAACACGTGGAGTGGGGGCATATAAGTAGCCTAGGTTTGGGGTGGAACCTAAGAGGCATTAGTGATGCACGGGTATTCCACTGGCACTAGTTTGGCACCAGAGGTAAATTCCTAGGGGTGGGGAAGGTACAGTCACAGGTAAATTCCTAGGGGTGTGGGAGATGGAGTTCCTTGGTTCCGCCTGGGGCTTTACTGGCTACAGTGTCCTGTCTGGGCCAAAACTCTTTCAGATATATTCTCACATTCTGCAAGTTTTTCAAAATATGTTGAATGTTTTCCTTGCGTGCTTCTCTGAAGATGTTTCCACTGGCGAGTTTTACAGTTTCCAAATACTCATGCCCTCTTTTCTGGACTATAAAAAGATAATTACTGATCAAAAAATAGAAGCCCAGAAACACACGCAAAGACACGTTTGTCTCTTTTAGTTCAGTGAGGGTGAAACTTTTGATCCCTGCTTAGGCCAGGCTCACACCCCTCCTCATCCTGAAGCAGCAACAACAAAATAGATATTCAGCATTCTCTCTCTTTCCCTCCCTCTCTCCCATTATTCTTTTCTTTCTTCCTTCTTCCCTTCTTTCTTGCTTCCCTTTTAGACTTTCTGAAATAATGTTTCAATGTGTAGGTGAGGGTGGCTTTGAATTCACTGCTTAGAGGACCAGGATTGTCTTCAGCTTGCCGTGATCCTCCTGCCTCAGTTGCCTGAGTCCAAGAATTTCAGGAGTGCTCCCTCACACTCACCTTCTTTTCCATCTCTGAACAATAAAGGATATAAAACTCTGGGGGTGGGATGAAGTAGGACAGAATAAAAGTAGCCACTCCCAGAAAGGTTACAAAGAACATCATAATTTTAAAAATAAAGATGGCAGGTTCAAGACAGGCCAGGTTTTCTGTTGTTGTTATTTGTTTGTTCTATTTTTTCCTGATACACAGTAAGCCTGGACAATTTTTTTAATGCATATAGTCGCTTTCCATATTCTTACCTGTGAATAGATTAACTTTTTCACTTATGAATAGCCTTTTTATGTTTCTGTGGGTAAGCCATTCTTTTTCTTCTTTTTCCATAAAGTAGGTCCTAATATAGATTTTTCTATACAGCCCCGCTCTCTTGAGAAAAATATAAATATTTAAGAATTTGAGGCATTATGTGCCTTTCTCTCATGCAGTACTGCACTCTATTTCTTTGTACACTTTTCAATTTCTGCTTAATACATTCCTTTATGTCTCTTTAAAAAATAAGAAACTTCTATTTAATTTTCTCCAGATATTCCTTGGTAAGCTGTGTCACACTACATGTCTTTAATACATTTTGGATGTATCACATATTTTAAATAATTCCTCTGCACCATTCACTTAAACTTTCAATGCTTGCAAACGTGTATTCTAAGTACACTGAAAGCTTACTTCTTGTGTTGTAGGTCTTCGAATTTCAATTGACTTCTGAGGACATGAAAGTGATAGATGGCCTGAACAGAAACTTGAGATATCTTCCTGCTGAGTTGTAAGTAATTTTGAAGCATACTGTTGTAGTCCCCCAAAAAGGCCTTGAGATGAAAAACGGGGCAAGACAACAGCATTTTTGTTTTTTTTTTTTTTTTTTTTTTTTTTTGGTCTTTTTTGTTTTTATCGGTACCAGGGATTGAACTCACGACTGCCTGCTTGCAAGGCAGGCACTTATGCCGCTGAGCTAAATCCCCAGCCCCGACAACATCATTTTTTAAAAAAGCGCTTTTATTTTAGCTGGCGCAGCAACACAATGCAGATGAAATTCGCAAAGCTGTGTGACTGAGTTAGAATTTTGACTGATTTTTATAGTTCATTTATGATAAGCTCATTGATCATTAAGTACATAGTTATGAGAAACAGAAACAAGGTGGGCCTTTGTTCCCTTTTGCTTGAGGTCAGAGACATTTCACAGTGGGTGGTTAGCCAATTAGTAGCCCTTGGTCTGCCAATTCCAGAAACATTTGTCTCTCATAAAGGGAACATTGGTTGACACAACATCATTTGTCTCTTACAAGTGGAACAGAGTTTGAGACAGCAAACAGGTTACTCAGGGATGATGCACACAGAATAACATGACCACACAGTCAGTTAATCTATAACTGTGTGGTTGGAGCATGGTTACTGGTTAATGAGCTCAGCACAGAATGACAATACTGCTAATAACTATCTTTTTAACTACCTATTTTTGCAAATAATTATCTTTTAATTAACTATTTTATTTTTTCAGCATTTTAGTACAACACATATGTTGCCATGTTGTTTTTCAGTTTCAAGTTTCTCTCATCTTTATCAGTGTGTGTTTGGTCAGAACACTGTATTTACCTCTCAGAAAGCTTCCCTTTTTGTAGTCAGCAGAACATTTCCTGTGTCTAAAATATACAGTGCAGAGGATAAAGAAGATTTTAGATGAGAAATTCCAAACCAACAGAAGTGTATTAAAACTGCATTGCTGAAGATTTTAGTCATCAAAATAACTTTGCTATTCCTTCATGCTCTATGGCTTGATATTCTGATATTGGCTATGCATTATGAATGAGAGCAAACAGGGAATATGTATCCACTCACACTGTAGAAATTGTAACTCCTAGTGGAAACACATGTCATAATATTTGAAAGGGGATTAGACAGTCTACAATTGCAGGTTATCCACAATCAGCAGATACTTTGCTATCATTACTAATATTGTTAGTAGTATAAAAAACATGGAAAGATAAGGTAGCAATATATGTTAAAGAGACACAGAGTAGCAATCAATCAATAATTCTTGCTCATTATTAAATATTTTAATGAACATAATTTTTGTCACTTTATAGCTTGTGTTGTTTTTAAAATATACAATCTAAGAGCCTCTAGGGTGAATGTTTGTGTTGTAAATGACATTTTGACATTCCCGATTCTAACCAAGTATGGTATTTATGATGAATTATGGGGAAATCAAAACTGAATAAGAAAAAAGAGAAGTCAAAGTGGTATAGGGGAATGAAACTCCTGACCTACTATATGTCCAAAATGAGTTCATGTTCTCTAAAATCAAAGAATGAATTTTAGAAACAATGGAGGTTAAGAGAAGACATGTTTATTGTAAGAAGGAAAGCTTCTGTATGAGAGAGAGACAAAGGAGGTCCTGGGTGGGTTGCCAAAGAATCTGTATTTTCTCAGGATTTTTATACAGTAAAATCATGAAGTGAGGAGGTCTAAAGTTGGTCTATAGCTGGGAAAGTTGTAACTTGCAAGGCATATGGGAATGAACTATGGTCCACCAATAAGTTTAATTGTAAGAGAAAGGATTTTGCCCTGGATGAAAAGCTGCAGAGGTGGGAGGCTGGAAGGTAGAACCAAGAGGCTCTATTTTGGGGTCATCTTCCCCTCCCCTAAGCAATTTACCTGTGGCATGAAATTAATTCCAATGGCCTATCTATGCACCAGTAATGCCCCTTAGGCACCACCCCAAACCTAAGCTATATTTATGCCCCCACATCACGTGTCTGGCAGAGAGAATGCCAGACCCCAGAGGTCATGGAGTCTCTCTCACATTCTTAAAATAAATGCCACTTTTATTTCATATTTCTTATCTTTATATCCATGTTGAAAATTCTATCAGTAAAGTAAAATTGACCAAATCATGGACAAATGGAGAAGTGAGTCATGTCAGTGACTCCTCCTATAGGGGATTTGGATGGTGACTCCTGGCTTCTCAAAGTGATCCAGATTTAATCTCTAAGGATTATACTTAAGGGTGTGCTTGCATTTGGTTTTCCTTCTGTTTTGACATCTGGTCCACAACAAGAGGTATGTGTCCCCTCCAAGATCCTCTATGTGGTCTTCTTCAAGGACCTAGCCCTGTATGACTACCTATAATATTTCTGACTAGCTCAGTTGCCTGTAACAAAAATGCTAGCAGTAGATTGTGCACCCTCAAATATTTGTTGTGCTGATCAATATTTGGACTTAGACTTGTAGTAAACATTACATATTGATTCTCTGCTTTCACTGAGAATTCAAAATCAAAAGGAATTTATTTGCTTTTTCGGCTCTGAATAATATATAGGAATGTGTGTGTGTGTGTGTGTGTGTGTGTTTGATTCTGTGTTCTCCTATGTGCAGAAAATAAAATTTGAAATTTTTATGATTTAAGCATAGTTTTCTGTTAACATATGTTCAAAAAGAACAAATGGCAGACTTTTCAAGCAGTCAGGAAAAAATGGTTAACTTTCAGTGTTTGAATATGCTTAAATATTACTAATTTACTGTCATAGAAGTAAACTGATGAAGACCATATTATACATTTTTTCTAATTATAGCATTGAAGGCCACCCTAATTATCCATTTGCTGATGAATATTAACATGGAACCTTTGTCATGAGTACTGGCACAAATTCCTTTTCATGAAATATGATACAGAATACATCTGAGGTGTTGCTTCTCTGACTCATCCAACATCCTGGTCAAACCATGCTGATTAGCAACTCTCCTAGATTGGATTAAAAAGGGACTAAACTAGCATCAGATTTTTGAAAACAATATAAAATCATTTTTTCTAAATGTTCTTGCTTTGTGCTGTTTCTGTTATTTGCATGGCATGTTTACTTTGAAGTCATTATGGCTAGAAACAGACTTGGCTGGAGATCTTTGGGGAAAGCTATTTCAGAGGATGGTAATGGGTCTCACAGCAGGTTCTGTGGAGGTAGGAATTGGCAGGTATTCATCAGACACTTTTACTTCAGCCCATGGAGTAATGACAAAACACAGTGCATTTAATTTATTGTCCACGTCTGGAAGGTGAAGCACATATGACAAGGGTGACAAGAGCCTACTGCTCCTCAACTATCACAGCTTCTGAAATGGGGGAATCAGGGGCATGGTGGGGGCTGGAAGGGTCCTGAAACAGGAAGCAGACTGAAAATTTGATTCATAATCGATGGAGGAGACAATGAGGAAGGAGCTGAGCACATCTTTGCTTGGAAAGTAATGTCAGATGTTCTTCTGATAATTGTATTCTGCAGATGAAAAGGAAATTTTTACATACTTTTATCTCCTGACAGAACTGACACATTACAGAATTTGTTAGTCAGTAATGTCAGTAAACTGATTCCTCATAGAACAACAGAACTCAGCAAGCATGAGTTAGGAAAATGCAGGGTGCCCTGATGAGTAAGCTGGGATAATAGCATCACCAGAAAACCTGGAACTATGCCACATTATAAAAGTTGGAAAATACTGGAGTCAGTCATTGTGCAGTGGTACTATGGAATCTTTTGAATCCCTTGAAAACAGCATATAGATGGATGTAAGCAAAATATTAGGAAAGAATCTTCAAATATAACTGGAAAAGTGAAGCAATTGCTAGACACTGGGTAGTAAATATTACAGAAATTCTGATGAAAGTCACCTGTTAAAATCTGGCATGTCCAACCCACTATCAGTGAGCCACATGTATCCTTGGGCAGCTGGAGAAGTCCAAGGTCCCATAAAGCCCCATAAGACTGCAAACTTTTAACATTATCATGTAATTGCTAGTGATATTTTTGATGACTAGATTTCATGGTGCTTGAACAAAGTAGGCACAACAGACTATATTATAGGGGATGACCCAGTGTACTGATAATTGACCTCCTGCATATACCTCATAGACAATCAAAGTGAAATATGTGTTCCAGGTGTTACAAATACTTGGAGTTTGAACTTGAGTAAAAAATGTGACAGTCGTAGTATCTCAATCTACCTTTAAGTGCATTAGAAGATAGGAATTTGTTTTTTTAAGCAGACTTGTAAGTTTTCTTAACTATTGTGCTTGAGCTTGTGTCATTCTCTAAACAGAGTTTAACTGCAGAATCACACACAGCTGCTGAATCCACATTACTCTCAAAGCAGTTTTCCTGAGTAACCAATTTCAAATGAAAGGGCCACTATGTTGATGCACATAGCAGTCCAGTTTCCACAACATAGAATTCTTAGAATGTGCATGACAGTGAAAACCCTAGGTTGAACTGATTCAAAAGCCAATGAGAGTACTCAACAAGCATAAGGTAGAAAAATGGAGAGTCTACAATAAGCTGGGACAAGGGTATCACCAGACAGCATTCATTAAGCATTGAGTTAAGAAGGTATCAGATGTGGGTTTTTTTGTGAATCACTGTGAACAACATCACTGTTGTTTGTTCTCTAATTCAGGGGGCTTTCAAAGGAAAAGTCCAAATAGTATAGGGGAAATATAACTCCTGCAAGATGTCAAAAACACTAAGTTCACATTCTCTAAAATCAAGGAGTAAATTCTAGGACTATCGAAGTTTAAAGGGTAAAATTATTGAGAGAAAGAAATCTTCTAAGAGGAGCAGAAGCAGTCCCAGGAAGTGAATTTCTCACCAACTCAGCTTCTCAAGGACATTTTTCTAAGCAAATTCATGAAGGAGGATGGTTTAAAGTTGGACAGAACTATAATCAATCAATAAGATTGCAAGTATAATTGCTTAAATAATATTGATATAATGGAAAAACACAAGGTTGGCATGAAGTAGGACAAGACTATGGAGAAATAACAAGCATACAAGTACAGTCACTGGGGGAAATATTGATTAAATGAGAAACAAATTGGGAAGCAACTCACATAGCAAGTGCATGTGGGAGGGACATGGTCTTTCCTGGAAGGGATGAGTTAGGGAGCTTTTGGCCTGTACCCCAAGATGATTCATCCATACAGGAAGTATATGAGTATGCCTTTATTTGAAGTCTGACCTTCAATAAGTATGGCTCCACTCAGCTATCTTTCATGTTGACCTCTCCAAGGCCCAATGTATGTGACTACCTACGATTATACCTAATATAGTTATCTATAAATCAAATACAGGCTTCCAAGGAGCTACCAATTATCTGAGATTTCCCCTTCAATTTTCATAGGAATCATTAGTTGGCAAAGAACATCTCTTTTAATGTTCATAGGCCTGACTTTTACATGTTAGCTATCATCTCTTTTTGTATTAATGTCTATCTTGAGTACTTTTTTCCCTCATTCCTGGGACAAAACACCTTATGCTCAAAATTAAGGAATGAAAGTTTATTTTACTCATGCATTGTAGAAGATTCACACTATAATCAGAGGCTCCAAAGTGGGGTTGCATGGCACAGGGACAATATTTCAAGGTGGCAGAAAACAGTAAAAGCAGCAAGAGCAAAGAGGCGGGAGTAAACCTCTTTTCCTCCCTTATACTGTAGGTAGGCTACTACCACTCCAGGAAGGATGTAGCACTCATATCATCTCCCTGTTCTCCTTTTGTACAGGCTCAGGGTGTTTCCAAAGTGAGGACTCAAGTGATTTTCTGGGTTGCTTACTTAAACTGAATTTCCCAATCTGACACCATGAATAATATTGATCACTAAGGACATGTCTTCCACACCTAAGGATGTAGAGCTGTTGAATTGTTTACCTAAGCATTTAGATTTCTCCAGTTGACACAATGTATCAACCACAATAACACAGAATTTCCTATCAGAGAAGTGAAATGATTTTTCTGATTGTATCTGGCCATGTGGTTCAAAAGCCTCTGGGAATGGCTTGTGGAAATCATTTGGAAAGCTTTGGAAATGTTTTCTGAGAGAGTAGAGTTAGAATGCCTTAGGCTATTCTGTATGGGAGATTATGGTCAGGGTTCCTAAGATCAGAAGGCTGATAGGAATCCTGCCAGTAAAGATTAGGCTTGGGAGTATTCTGGTGGGAAGAAGAATTGCATTTGATTTTGGCCTCCAGGTGATGTGTGTTAAGGCTTGGCATATAATTTATCTGCATTGTGCCCATGTCCAGAGAATTTGCCTGAGATTGTAATTAAGCATGGTAGACAAATTAATCTGGCAAAAGAAACTTCACGGCAGTCAGACTTTCGGCGTTGGCATGACTATTGTTGAGCGCTTTTAGCTATATTTGTGCTGCAAATCAAGAGCAAATACCCTAGTGGGATGATTTAAAATGTTATGTTAGGCCACAAAGGTAATTTCAGTAAATCTGTGAATTGCAAAGATGGAGCAGAGAATATCTCTGTTGCTACAAAGGATAGGGACAATGGAAAAGATGACCTGGGGCATCACAGGAAGTAGTAAATTCCCACCCTTTGTAACCTCAAGACAGCAAAAGTGAAAGATACTGCATTGAGAAGAAAGTCACAAAACACCGTGTTCCAGAATCCTGGGAGCATAGAATTGTTCCTCAGAATTGGATTCACAGCGCCTAGTGACCCAGACAACAGGTTCCTACAGCCAAAAGAGAGGAAAGCCTGGCTACTGCTCCAGCTGACAGCAGACCCTTTACATTATCATGTGTATTTGATAGTTGCATGCAGAATGCAAGAATTATGGTGTTAAGAAGGCTTTCATCCTGAATCTCAGTAGTGTGCCCCTGAGAGGGTAGAGTATGAAGCAAAAGATGCAGTGGAGACCCCAGGAGTTAGGAAAAGCCAGGAACATGACTCATCTAATGAAGCTGAAAGGAGAGAGCAAAGCATGCCTAAGAGAGAAGCCATGGGAGCTACAGCACCAGAAGTGCCACAGAGGAGGAGCAATGAAAACTCTTTGGAGCTCATGATGTACCATAGATTGCCTCAGATGCTGGACATGGAATTATAGGACTCTATATTTGCCTTGATGGATTTTGGACTTGCTTTGGTCCAATCCTTTGTTTGATCCTCCTGTTTGTACTTTTCAGAAAGAAAATGTCTGTCTTTTGTCATTGCATGTTAGAAGTATTTAACTTGATTTTTATTTCTACAGAAGCTTGCAGCTAAAAGTAGGCCATTACATCTCAGAGAAGACTTGGGACTGAACTTTTTAGCAGTGCTAAAAGGACTAAGTATCTCTTGCATAAAGGGATGTGCATGAATCTTTCAGGAGACAGAAATGAAATGCTATGGTTATTATATAATATAATGTGGATAGACTTCATACTGGTTCCTAATTATTGTTAAGCCTGTGTTGTGCTGTTCAAGTTGTGAAATGATCAGCATAAGCATGTCTTTGAATCTGGAGACCAGTTTAAAGAAGTGTGTCTGATTGCCAAATTGACAAGAGGTGAATTGCAATGGGATATACACTGTGTCAACTTGAGAAGTTTAGAGGTTTAACTAAGCAGTGCAGCAGGGCGCCAGGGTCCTTGGTTTTTAAACATCCTCATCCTGTGCAAGATGAGGTCACAGAGATGGTGTGAGTGCTACATACACCTGCCTAAGAGGGTGGCAGCCTGCTTACAGTATAGGGGACAAAAAGAAGCTTGCTCTTTCCCCTTTTTGCTCTTGCTGCATTTGCTGTCTTCTGCCACCTTGAACTGTTGTCCCTGTGCTATGTCACCTTGCCTTTGAGCTAGCTGATCACGTACTGAAACCTAAGTGAACTTTTCCTTCCTTAACTTGCACTCTCAGGTATTTTGCCTCATCAACTAGAGAAAAGTAACTAAGACAATCTCCATACTTACCTTTAAAAGCAGGCAGCTGCTGGCATGAATGCAGCTCTCTTACACTATATATGACATTAATTTTCGATTGCATCACATCACACTTTGCTGCTTCC